GAGGGATGTTTATGGTAGCCAAGTGGGGTATATAACTTTGATGTCTAACCATAGACATAGACATAGCCATGGGAACGTATGCTTTATTGACTCCCAGGGCAGAAGAGTTAAGGAAGCATCTTCACACACGTATTGGTCAGAATCTGCATTTGGACAAAGGGGAGGGCTCATTATCAGCTTAATCCCATTTGCATGGCCTAAAGGTTTTCAGATGCTGCTTTGCTTCTAATGGTTTCCATCCTGCTTGATTAAAGGTTCCTTTTGAAATAATCCATTTCAAGAGTCTTTACTTTCTCAAGTTAGGAGAGGAGTTATTACAGGAATGTTTTATTTTGACAACAACACATTCACATTCTACTCCTTACTATTCCCCCTCCCAATGAAACAGCATAATAAAATAATAGAGAGTGTGGCAGGCCAAAGATCCTAAAAGGAATATGACTGCAGGCCTGACAGTAGGATTGGAATTGAGTCCATTTAACTTTGGTGGCTGTTGGGGATCAATTACCTAGATGGTTGCTTGAACTCTGCATAAAACTGATCAATAGCTTAGATGTATGGTTATTCACAACTATTTCCTTGCTCCTTCTGTGAGTCAAATAATCCAGAGGTTGGAGTTCTTGAAAATAATTTCATCTTTCTCTGATATACGTAAAAACAACTGACTTGCTTTCTAAGCAGAAGGAAAACAGACTGAACTGCAGACAAGAAGTTTAAAGCTTCTTAAATCATATTGATACACAAAAGAAAATAGTACAATTATTGAAGTGGTTTCATTGGTTCTGTGTCTCTGAAAGATATAAATGGAGGAAAGGAATAATGGGATACTGTCAGCTAGGAATAATGGGATATTGGAGTTTATGTGTCTGTTGTAGTGGTCTGTTTAGAGCCAGTGTCTACATGGAAACTGAACTTAACTTAGCAATCTTTTCCATCACGTCTAATCTTTCCAGAGTTACTTTGATGAAATAGTAGAGGTCCATATTTTTTTCAGATTGCCAATATCTGTACATTGCAACATTGTTACATCAGCATTAGGAAAAACTATAAACAAAGAGACACACTGGTCTTATGACACTGTGTAGGATCTGCTTACTACTATGTCTGCTATCAGCCTTTCCTATCAAAAGTTCATATTGCTTTCCACAAAGTGTTTCAAGAAGAACGTGATGAAAAAAATGATACCTGAATGTTCTGCTGTGTTTGCGTAGTAAAAGCTTAGAGTAAATCTGATACTAAAGTTATCCATAGTGGTCATATATTTTTTCACTGCTAAAATCAACAGGCAATTCCTTCATGTTGAAACAGTGCCATCCCACTGGTGCCAATGGGATAGCAGTTACAACTAAGAATGGAACCTGGCACAAACCTTACTGCTGAGCTGCTGCTGATATCCCAAAGTCACATTGCAGAGATGGCGTGACAAGCATTGGCAGCTGTTTTCCATTGTATAACTAGCTGGGCAGAGTGTATCTCTGAAGGAAATTAGGACTAGTACAGAACTGCAGATCATTCCTGGAAAATAGAAAACTAGATTACTTGATCCATAGAGTTGTAGTCAAGGGTAAAGGCAATGTTAACTATTTTTTAAAGAAACCAGTATAATGGGAAACATAAAAAGAGGAAGTGATTACAATATTAGTGTATGTATTAAAAGAAGTTCATTTCTGTTCTGGAAATACTTTCTGTTAATGTTACATTAAATTTCCAAGGAAAATAAGTAAATTATAGTTATATTTCAGTCTAATGGGACTGGTAGTCTGTCATTTAAGTACATTGTCCTTTCTACTTTATGACAGTGTTACTTTATGAAAGTTTCCAGCTATGAAGCAACAGCATAGCTGTTCAAAACTGTTCTATTCTTTAAACATTTGATATAAACTGTTTGAATAGTAATAATTAACATTCATGGGTGTCAAGAATTAGTCTTCTTTTCCTAATTTGGTGTTCTTAAACCTGTAACAGCATTCAGTTTATAGTATTTGCAGCAGCCTGAAAACTCTTAAAGAGAAAGTCAAAGCAAAGAACACTATTTTTTTTGTTGCGGTGGTTGTTTGTTTTGATTGCATAGAAATCCTCCTTTAATCTTTTTTTTTTGTAGGGCTTGCAAACGTCCAGAATTAATCACCGAAGCATGTGTGTCTTCCTCAGACTTCTGTAAAAGGCTGAAAAAATATGTTGTTGCTTTAATAATTCTATCTTGGAAAAGATTGCCTTAAAGTGATAGCATCAGCTGCCATCTTATGTTTGCTTGTAGTTCACTACATTATGGTCAGAAACTGCAATGAACTGTGGGGATGGAGGAAGGCAAGGGGGAAAATGAAAGTAAGTGCTGTATCTCTTACAGATGCTACTTCAAGGTCATCTGACATACTAACTGCATACCATCCTGTGCCTGGACTGACCATTATAAAAACTTCCTGTCCCAACCTAACTGGTCTCATGGGGTGGGAAATAGGAGGTAATTAAGGGAGGGGAAAGTTGAATTTAGGGATTATGGAACATGATGCTCAATTCTGGCTATCCATTATTGCAATACACTTGACTTCTAATAAACTATACCTTTCTCAACAAATGGAGCCAAAGGTTGTGTCAGATCCCTAAAAGTGATACTGCCATCCAACTGGGAGGAGGGGGGGGGGCTTAGAGGCAATTATTAGCAGTGCCTGTGACAACTGATAATTTACAACTGGTTTCCTGGCACTGAAATGCCTGAGATCCCATCACCTTTTGGGGGAAAGTTTATGATGGCCATGTGGGATATTTCACTTTAATGTCTAACAGAAGATAGTCATGGGAATGTATGTTTATTCGGCTTTCAGGGCAGTTGATAAAGGAAACATCTTCACACTTGTGTATTGGCGAAAATCTGCATTCTATCAAATGGGAGGGGTCTCTACTGCTTTAATTCTACTTGCATTGCCTAAGGGGAATCAGATGCTGCTTTGAATTTAATGGCTTCCATTCTTCTTAATAAACGGTTTCTTTTGAAATACTCCATTTCAAGAGTCTTCACTTTCTTAAGTTAGGAGAGCAGCCCTTACCGATTGTTTCTGTTTACAGGTTTAAATGGTGGCAGGTCTGACAGATGAAGACAGCCAAATGTTCTGTTCTTGATTGGTGTGCTGTGAAACATCATCTGAAGATCAAATTCAAAGTACTATTCAGTAGTATTTGATTGCCATAAGGTAGGTTTTAGGTAAAACACACATACCTAAGAGTTTTTACCAAAAACACTTTAGGCAAAATTTAGAATTTTAATGCATTTTTACTGCATTATTGTTTTGTTAGCATTTTTTTTCAAGGCAAACAAATTTTTCAAGATGAGTAACAGTTTTTGGTCAGAAGCATATAATCTGCCTTAAGAAAACCCTGTTTCTTAAATCATCAGTTCAGAATTTAAAAGTGTTTCATTTGCTTACTCCATAAATGTTGGAGTGAATAAATAAGAGTGCATCATTCTGAAATTTCTTACTCATAAATAATTAAGACTATAATAAAGCTGCTTTGTCTTTGATCTCATTCAGTGAGTATGAGTCTTACCAATAGTTGCTGCATCCTAGAACATGATTATTTGGTGACAATAGTTCTCTGCTGGTGTTCTTCAAAAGAACACAAAGAAAGCAAATGGAATGCCTGTTTTGATTCTACCTAATTCTAAGCAGTCTACAAGGAAATTAACTTTTAACTATGGTTGATATCCTTGCAGTTGCTACATTTTTAACAGGGTAGTCTGCTACTCAACAATATTGTAGTCACCATGTCTTTTCTTTGTTGACTTAGGTTATCCTAATGTCTATACACGTTTTCTTTTTCAGGCTTATAACCTGGGTTAATAAACCCCAAGTACTATATTACTATAACAAGATATGTCCAAAATAAATAAAACATATGATAACTTTAACATGATAGTCTCATGTAACTAAAATAGCTGAATTTTTGTAACATATTGACCTACAAATTATTCTAACCGTATTTTACTTTAGGATGTTGTACATATGAACAAGAAATGAGCATGTAGAAACATCATCAAATTCTGAATTTTTCTTGTAAGCGATCTTGCTTAATTGTAGAAAATGTTTGTGTTTTGTGAATAAGGTTTCACACATAATGTACTGCATTTTTCATTAAAAAAAATTGTAAGAACTGTCAAGTTCCTTTGATGGCAAAGTTGCCAAAGGAAAACTTTGTAAGGCAATTAAACAAAAAGAACTCTAGCAGAGGAAAATAGGCAAGTGGCACTCTTCCAAGAAAAGAAAGAATAAGAGAGCTTACCGTGTCCTTTGTCTTCATTATCTTTTTGCTCACACAGTGGACAACAGGAAAATGGTTGCAGGCTCTCTAACGTGTGAACTGTTAATGAAAGAATTCCTTGGTAGTAACAATCATGCAAACAGCCAAAGTCAGAAAGACTATCTATGAAATGAAAAATCTTTATATAGATTGACTGTGAATAAATTATGTGGGGCTTAGTAAAACTTGCTTCTGAATAAATATCTACAAGGTGGCACTGTCTATAAACCCTGGCATATAATTTTACTCCATGGAAAATACATTGAGTCTAATTAAACAAATCTCACTTACTTACTCTGTCTGTCTTTTGATATATTTACAGGCCATAGATTATTCATAAATATTCTGCACATTATGATTCTTTGGCTTACAGCAGCTACAACAAACTCAACACTGGAATTCTTGCAAGAGCCACATCACAAAACTGATTTGCCTTAAATAACAAGGCAATTATATTTCACAAAATAAATATATTTTTAAATTTTGTTTGCCTACTTATAAGCATTTCAAATTGTATTATTTTCAAAAATTGTGTTTCAATTCAAATATTTGCCAACATTCCTAATTTTACAATGAAGAGACTTTTGAGAAAAGACCTGATCATTTTGTTAGAATGCATTTATTACAGAACAATAATCAGAATCCTCATATTAAAATAGCAGGAATGAAACTGAAGGCCTATCAGAAAAGTTTTTAAAAATCCACAAATTATGAGTTGCATGGAAAGAAGAAAGTTTCAGCTTAAATAGCATGCATTTACTAGAAAAAAGAACTTCTCTACATCAATAAGGATGGCATTTTTACAAATTTAAGGTGATGGGAACTAGTCAAAAAATATTATGCACTCTTCAATGAGGGTAGTCAAAACAACATGAATAAATATAAATGTCTTTTATGCTGGCTAATTACACCATTTTGATTTATTTATATTTCACACATAGAAGAAGACACTGTCTGCTTTCTGCAACAAGAAAGAACACATTCTATTCATCTACTTTCTAAAACTGTAACAGCTGTTATGTGCATGGCTAAACCTAAATGCTTCTAAATGTATTAAGGATAGATTGACTCAAGTCTATTAAATCAAGTCAAATAAAGTCAAATCAGTTACTGTAATTCAAAAAGGCTCCTTCAAACTCTTATAGTCAATTGAATTGAAACTATTAAATAGTTAACTGTATTATATCTTTAAAAAAACTTAATTGGTTTAAAAGATATGTCCTGTTTTTTTAAAAAAATTACTAGGTCACATAATTAAAGAACGGTATCGTCAAATTAAGTACCAGCAAAATTTAACTGTAATGTATCTTGGTTGCAGAAAATATAACTTCAGTAACAGGGTTGTCAATGCCTCGAATGCACTACCTGACAATGTGGTTTCTTCCTCAAACCACCAAAACTTTAACCTTAGACTGTCTACTGTCAACCTCACCCCATTCCTAAGAGGTCTTTAAGGGGCGTGCATAAGCGCATAAGGGTGCCTACTGTTCCTGTCGTAATATTCCCTTGTACTCATATTAATTTCATGTATTCATAATCATGTCTATACTTGTATATCTGTTATCTAATTCATGCTTGATGAAATAAATAAATAAACAAATAAAAATAAATAAAATACATGAATCTTATAGACATATGGATCCTGTGAAATGGTTATACACTATACATTTGGGATGTACTATTTTGTTGTAGGAAACCCCTTCCCTCAGATGTAAATGTTCTTTATTTTTAATATTAAAAAGAGATAAAATATTTCCTCAGAGGAGAAAGGGAGAAAAATATTGACAAAAGCAGAAAGCAGCCCCAGTCTTCCTGCCATAGGAAACAACTTCAAACTAAGAAACTTGAAGAGGCTGGCCTTTAGGAATGCAGATTTTGTATCCATTCAGGAAAACTGGGCCAATCTATTCACAAACAAAATGCTTCAGGTACTGATGGGATTAAAAATTTACCTTCCCTCACCCAAATTCTAAGGACAGGATATGACTTTTAAGACATAATAGGATTAACCCAGCACCATTGGAATAGTAAAAGACACAAGGCTTACTATATTGTGCAACCCCCTGGAGCATCTCAATCACCAAACTCCAAAATCCTATAAAAATCCATCCATTCACTCAACCATTTTGTCAGTCACCCCAGAAACAGGCTGCTGTCACTGAAGTTTCTGGAAACCAAACAATATCAGACCTTTCCTTGTAGCCAGCCTCCATTTTATTTCCAGCATCTTTCTCCTGACTAGTAGCCAGACTGATTTGTTTTCCCAAAATTTGGCAACCTAGATGGGACTCCAAGCTAACCTGACCAATGTACCTGGTCTGGGTAAGCCTCCACCTTTCTGACAACAGACTCTTTGTGTCTGTGGTTGGGTTACCCAGACCTTGGCCATTTGGAGCAAGGATAGCAAAGGGAGTTAGAGTCTTGAATTCAATGGCTGCTTGGAAAGAAGGTGAGTACCTTTAAATTTTAACTTTTAAACCCAGGAAAGTGAGGGAAATGTGTGCATGCCTATGTGTGTAAGTGAGAGGACCCTTCTCCCAATCACAGCTGGATCCTGCTCCTTCTGTGCCTTTCCTATCTGCACCCAGAACTGTTTGACTGAAAGACCCTGGAAAGCAAGGGGGTTTGGCCAGAGCACAGGACCTTCTGTGGGGAGAAGGGAGGTTGTCTGAAAGTGTAACAGAAAACTGAGAAAGAGAGTCAAACCTGGGCAGCCAGCCAAAGTCTCTAAGCAAACCTCCACTCTTCTAGGAGGGTCCCTCATACTCTGCAAAAAGAAGTCAATCCTCTGAGATCCCTTGAGGTTTTTGGAAACCAAATACAGACTTTCTTTCCTTGTAGCCAGCCTCCATTTTATTTCCAGCGTCTTTCTCATGGCTTGGAACCAGGTAGAATTTTTCTTCCCATACTGTGTTGCTTCATTGATAGTGTTTAATACTATTCAGTTGTATTTTAACAGTTTTGCTTTTTAACTGTTTTGTTTTTGTTATTTTAATTGTGTGTACTGTCTACATTTGTGTGTTGGACAGTTGTATAAATTCAATAAATAAGCAAACATCTAGTCAAGGCATGTATGGATGCTAAGTTGGTTTTTTTCTTCACGAATACATACAGGGAGGAGGAGCTAAGATGGAGGAGAGGCAGCAATGGTTGTAAAGAGCTCTTCCAAAACTAAATCAGGTCTCTCTTTTCATATGTATGTATGTATGTATGTATTTTTATATTTTTAACTCATTTTTAATCTATTTTAATCTATACCAGAATTTTACAAAAGTACATAGAGTGTGGCTACCATTTGTTTTAGATATATTTTAACAATACTACAAGCCAGGACTTGTAAGAATGGGGAAAAAGAGAAAGAGATAGCACTCTGCAGCAGAGTGTTCATCCAAACCATTGAAGCAGCAGAAGATTGTACTGCAAAAAGACAGTCTGTTTCAGTAAGCAACTCATCTGCAGTTGTCTTAGCAGATAAATTTAATTTATGTGACTCATTGGAATGGGACTTACAAACCGAACTTGAAAGCAAACAGCATATAGAACTATCTTCCTCTGTCTTAGAAGATAGTTCCCCTTCTTGGAACTCAGCAGCTGCTTTCCTTGCACAGGAGGGAGATGTAATACATTTAAAATGTGACAGATTTCCTCACTATACAATGTTTGCTTACATCTCAAACTGTAAACTCAATCTATGAACTTTTATCAATTGTCAATTGTCATAAATAAGGTTGACTGCCACCCAAATACTGCAGAAGGACTATGTAATTGGGGGCCTCCCGGTTTGTGGGCAGTATTGCTCCCATATCCCATTCATTTTCAACGAGGCTTGGAGCCTTTGGAAGGGCATGACTGGGCCTGGTTTGTGGTGAGCAGTTCCAATGGCCCTGAAGCTGGTCGCAGTGGCAATGCCAAAGTCTGCAACTTTACCCTATAAGAGCAGGGCCCTGTTTGGTCAGTGAGGTGAATCACCTGAATCAGGGCCCCTATGCCAGGCAACCACAGGGGATGCCCTACAAAATTTGCCTTTTGTAAGAGGCTTTTCCATAGGTGTGTAACCTATCTAGGGTAGTCTGTAAGCGTCTACCCATTAACAGCTCAGTGGGGCTTTTATTCATTACTGGGCATGGTGTTGTGTGGTGGGCTAACAGTAAAATGTCTATTCTTTCCTGCCAACTCCTGGGTTCCATTTTTGCTAGGGCCTCCTTTGAAGAGTGCACCATTCTCTCCGTCAGACCTTTACTTGCCAGATGGAATGGTGAAATTAGGGCTTGGAGGATTTCCAGCCCTGCTAAAAACAGTTCGAACATGGTAGAGGTTAGCTGGAGTCCATTGTCTGACACCAGGAGGTGGGGCAGCCCATGTGTGGCACTAATTTTCAGAGAGCCCTTATTATGGCCTCTGATGTGGTTGACATCATTAGAACTATGTCTAGCCATTTAGAAAATGTGTCAACCACCACTAGGAATACCTGCCCTTGAAAAGGCACTGCAAAATCAATGTGAATGCAGGACCAGGGTGCCCTAGGGGATTTCCAGTTGCGTGGTGGTGATTTTGGTGGAGAGGGGCATGTCTCCAGGCATTGGGGACAAGTAGAGACACAGTTGGTAATGGCCTGATCTAATTTGGGCCACTATAGGTAGCTACAACCCAGTGCTTTCATGCACATTATGCTGGGGTGGCCGCTATGGAGGTTTTTTTAAAACTGGGTCCCTGAGGAGAGGGGGAACTACTACCTGCTGTCCCCACAGCAGGAAGCCCCGCTGAGTGGAGAGCTTGTGCTGGTGGGCTTTGTACAGTTGAAATTTGGGGCCTATGGTTCCTGCTGCCATCTCCTCTAGACCCAGTCAAGCACTCAGGAAATTACCTGATCCCATGTGGAATGCCTGGCAATGTCAGCTGCAGTGACTGGGAGGTCCAGGTCTTCAATACATAAAACCGGCGATGTAGGGGCTGGATCTTCGACCATGGCATTTGGTGGAGGCTAAGGTTTTTGAGAACAACACAATGGGAACCTCTGTGTTGTTGGGTAACCGGTTGCTGAGCACTGCGCTACCCCATATGGCAAAGCATCACAGGCCAATAGTAATGGAAGGCTCTTGCTGTATTGAACAAGAATGGCATTAGAGGTCAGCAGCTGCTTGACACCTCTGAAGGCTCCAGCTTTTTTCTTCCCCCAGGCCCAAAAAGTGTCTTTTGGTCTAGAAGCCAATGCAGGGGCTCGGCCACAGAAGCCTTGTGGGGAAGAAACATGGCATAAAAGTTAAGCAGTCCAAGGAAGGCTTGGAGCTCTGTCTTATTGGTAGGCATTGGTGCCTCTTCTATTGCCTTTGTCTTTGTGGCAGTTGGGTGAAGTTCAGCTGTATCGATGAGATACCCCAGGAATTCCACTTGGGGAACTGCGATATGGCACTTGTCTTACTTTGAGGCTGTATTGTTGGAAACACTGGAGCACAGCTCTTAGTCTGGTCATTAGTTCAGAGTGGCTGGTCGCGAAGATGAGGACATCATCTAAGAAAGGGACAATGCCTCTGATCCCCTGCAGTAAGTGTTCCATTAGACTCTGGAACAACCTGGGGGCCATACTTACCCCAAACTGCAGGCAGCAGCATTTGAAGTCACCTCTGTGGGTGATGATAGTCTGCACCTCCGCTGTGAAGAATGTGCCTTCTCCCAAGGAGTGTAACAGGTACTGAACCACTGGCATTGGGTAGGCACTGGATGGTGGAGCGTGGTTCAGCGTGCACTTCTAATTTGCGCAGATGCAAATTGAGCCCTCCTGTTTGATGGGAATGACAATGGAGGTCTCCCATCTCATGTGGTCCACCAGTTCTAGGATGCCTTGGGTGATGAGCTTATCCAGTTCCGCATCCAATTTAGGTTTTAATGCAAAAGGGGCTCACCGTTTTGAGAGAGAGAATTACTAGCTTGACGGATGATTGATTCTGGGCCAGGATGATTGTGAAAAATGGTGTGGCAGTCATCCCGCATTCTAGGATTTTTTGGTGGAGGTCATCTGCTAAACAGTGGTTTTGATGGCTGGTCCAAAAATGGCTGAACTGCCCAGCATACCCTGGCAAGGTGACCCTTTCTCCTGCAACACTGGTAATTGGCATTTTTGAAGTTACAAAGCACTTGTGTATGATTGCCATTGCAACCCATACACATCGCTTTTGGCAGGTTTCTGTCACTGGGCCAGCTCTTTTTATTCGCCTCTTTAAGGTGATTCACCTCATCGTCATCTTCCGACTCCTTGTCTGTGACAGTGTCACCTTGGTGAACTGTAGCTTGGGTTGGACAAGCGGATTTAGTGTCTGCAGGTGGGATCTGGGTCTTCGGGATCATGGCCAATGTCTGCATGGAGCTTCCTCCAGTGTGGTTTGAAAGGTGACCTCAGCCAGCAAATGGAGCTGGATGCAAAGGTCCCTTATACCGCACACTAAGTGGTCCAGCAGGGCATCATCCAGGTCTTTGAACTTGCAGTGAAGTGCCATGGATCTGAGGGAGGCTACATAGTGATTAATTGACTCACCTTTGGCCTGGTTATGTTGGTAAAATGTGTGCCAGTGGGCAATCTTGGAAGGAGCTGGTGCGTAGTGGTTTTTTAACTTTGCAATCAACGTTTCCCAGGGTACAGTGTTGGTAGAGAGAGGGGCGGGGAGGGCCCTCACCATATCAAACATCTCTGGTCCACAGACTGTCAGGAAATAGGCACACTTCCTGTCAGGTGCTCCTTCGTTTAATAATCAAGAAAGAAACCACTCAACTCCATGCTT